CGCTTTACCGGGGGCATATGAGTGACTTCCCCCACGTAAAGCGATTGAGCCCACTTCTTTCGTTGGCTGGTGGAATCGCCCCCTGTATTGCCACCGGTGATCATGAGGATATGGCGTTTCTTCTCCTGGTAGTGGGGGTACTCCTCCTCCTCTTCTTCCAAGTTTCCGATCTCCCTCTTTTTGCCAAGAGGGATGGTGTTCGGATTCACCCAGGCATTTACCTTCGTATGGTGCCCTCGGGGGGGTCCCTGATGAGAAGGTCCCTCCTGCCGAGGGCTCTGGACAAACTGGGACAGGTGCCCTGCCTGTATTAATCTCTCGATGGCCGTCTTCAGTTGATGGCAGTCATCGGTCCTGTGCCCCTGGTGTCGATGGAAGCGACAGTAGGGGAACTGAGGGTTGATAGCGTGTACCTCCGGGGGTGCGCGAGAATCGCGTTCAACGAGGCCCCTCTCCTCTGCAAAATCGAGGATGATGCTGACGGGGTGCGTCAATGGGGTCCGAGGGCGGTCCAGGAGAATGGGCTGGGCCCAAGTCTTAGGGTTGCTCCTATAACCTCCCCCGGGCTTGGCTTGGCCTTGCCGAGGGCGGTCATCAGAGGGTCCCGAAGCCTTGGGGCGATTTGGAGGAGCCCCCGGCCCTCGGTTGTGCTTGTTGTCAGTCCTCGGGGGCTGCTGGTCCGGATGCTGGTGGTACTTCTCCACCTCCTCGGCCTCAGCATATTTGTCCCCCCGCTGCAAGGCCCTTATGTAGTCGCGGGGGGGTTCAATGATGAGGCTCCTTGAAAAGTTGCCGGTGCGGAGGACGGTTTGTAGGAGGGCCAGGAGGGTCCCGTCATCAGCACCGTCGACCTTGTCGGCCTCCGTCCTCCAGCGCTCCAGGAAATCCCGAAGGGTCTCATCCTTCTTCTGGCGTATCGTTAGGAGGTGGGAGAAGTGCTTCCTCGTGCGACGCCTCCCGGCAAATTGTGTTAAGAACCGCTGGGCGAGTTCTTGCCATGAATCAATACAGCCCTCGGGCAGCCTGTTGAACCATTCGTATGATGGTCCCTCTAAGGTGGAGAGGAACCAACGACACAAATATTCGTCTGACGCCCCCACCATCATCATGCTGTTCTGGTACTTGCTGTAATGTTCCTGGGGGTCCGTTTTCCCGCTGTAGGGCTGTATGTGTTGCCCTCGGTATTTCTCCGGGATCCGGGCCGCTAATACCCTTGGGGTAAATGGCGTCCGAGTCCGGAGCTGGATGACGGGTTCCCCGGAGCCCTCTGCCACCTTCTTCTGTAACTCCTCCATTTTGGCCATCATGGCCTCGTATTTGAGATCTGAGTGAGGGGTGGAGGTGGTGGCGTGAGCTTTGTTGGATTCCATTTCGTCAAGCCGGCGCTGGAGGGCCGCAATAATCTCGTCCCGGGGGTCCCTCGGGAGGGTCTCCGCCCCCTGCGAACGAACCCGGGCCGAGTGGGCCTGGTTGATTTGGTGCCGAGCATCATCGGCATGAAGGGGTGCCTTGCCTTTGTCCTGAGGGGGACGCTCCTCGTCTGCCCTCGAAACAGATCCCCCGCTTTCCTGGGGCCTTTGGAGTGCTTTCCCTCCGAGGCGGTCTTGGACCCCTCGGCGATCTGGCCCTCCTCCGAGCCGGTTGAGGGCGGAAGTACGGGGCCTCTCCCTGTTGTCATTATGGCGGTCCCGGGACTGAACTTCCTGGGAGGATGTTTCTTGGGCCACCACCCCTTCGTCGTCTCTCACCCGAGGGGTGGGATTTCCGAAGGGGTGTGGCAGAGGGGGAAGTATGATATTTTCCCCGATCTGAGGGTGAGCTGGAGCCAGGGTGCCGAAGGCACCCGGGTTCTGGGTGAGCGTCTGGATGAAGGCGGAGAGCGTCGATTGTACGTCGATGGTAAGAACCGGAGGGCTGACTTGGTCATCGCTCCGGTTTTTCTTCTTGGCCTCGATGCCGAGGCGGGCATCGGGGGCATTTTGTTGGATCTGAAGGCGTAGGTCGACAGCCGCCTGTTCCAGCCCAGCGATGACACCGCCCTCGGGAGCCCTGTGAGAGGCTTCGGGGGCGTTGACGTCGCCGAGGGGCAGGTTCTTGTCTTCTACGTTCTTTGAGTTGGCACGTGTTGTCCTCACCATTTTGATAGAGGGCTAGTGTTTTGTGTTTGGTCGAGGGGGGGGGGGGGGTTTCTTACTCGATTGTTAAACCTCTCAACGAGAGCACCAAATGATGGATAGTCTACCCGGGGGTATATATCCGAAGGGTTATTACGGGGAATAACTTAGAGAGAAGTCAGAGCGAACAAGTAAGAGAGAAAGTGTATATTCGATATATATTCAGCGTGGTTACAAATGAGGAGATGGGGTGCTATTTATAGTAGCAATAAATGCCGGGCAGGGACACGTGTCAAGCGCTCATTGGCCGAGGGGTCACCTCAACTGGTTGGCGCTGGCAGCCGCATGTGGCCGCATTTAATGCGGTTGTTGGATGGGACGTCTGTGCGGGGCACGGTGATCTGTACGCATGTGAGGCGGATATCTTGTCGAGTGAGATGCCTTCGGCGATAGAGCAGTAGCCGAGGGCTCTTCCACCCGATGGCACCCTGGTGCCGAGGGCTCACTGTGCCGAGGGCTACTGTTTTCGCCGTTTTCTCCCAGTTTCTTAATTTGCTTGAGAAACCCGTTCTGTGACAATTTGGAGCCTTCGGCCAGGGGGCCGAAGGCACCCCTGTGCGTTGTGCGGGCTGCTCGGTACTCTGGGCGCTGTGATTTGGGCCTGTTGGGCCTTTTGGGCCTGTTGGGCCTTCGCTGGAATAGTAGGAGTCTGTGGGCCGGGGGTTCCCGGACCATATACTCCATCATGAAGTATTCCAATGATTATCATATAAACCACGTCACAAAATCATACTCCAAAGAACACAAAAAAGACACTATTGTGTTCCTCACTAATCTCCCATGGTGCAATATAATTGCATTCAAGGCATCTCGAGTAGAAAGCAAAGTTTTTCTTGACGCAAAGTTTCCGATTAAATCCTTGGAAATATATATTTCTCAAAACATATTTACAACCTATTATAAAACCGAATACAAAAGTATTCGATTTCATAAATGTTATTTAAACAATAGATATTACATGCTCCCTTGTTTATCGGGCACCAATCATAGATTTGAATAAAGTATTCAAATTAGTTAACCAATCAAGCTATTTTTTCTCTGCATTGTTTTCAGTTTTGAAAAATAGTTTAATCTACTTCTTCAGGGGCACCACACACAATGCAACATACCATCCGATGTTTTTAATGTCTCATTCTGAAATACATTTTACGACAAATGATGTTATCTTTTATTATACAAAGCCAAAAGAAAAAATGAACAGTGTTCCCGCCCAAATGCAGTGCACTGTTGGGTCGGGTCGGGTCACTATGGGTGCACAAATGGGTCCTGGACAGGTCCACTGATGCTCTTTAATGCTTGCCACTAAAATAGTACAGAGCCACACAAACATTTAATGTGAAATCTGATGTGATGATTAAAAAATGAAGTAAATTGTACTTCAAATCTTAAAAGTAAACCTTGAGCCACACAAACATTTAATGCATTGTACAATCTTGGCATAACAAATGCAGTGCACTGTTGGGTCGGGTCGGGTCACTATGGGTGCAGAAACGGGTCCTGGGCAGGTCCACTGATGCTCTTTAATGCTTGCCACTAAAATAGTACAGAGCCACACAAACATTTAATGTGAAATCTGATGTGATGATTAAAAAATGAAGTAAATTGTACTTCAAATCTTAAAAGTAAACCTTGAGCCACACAAACATTTAAGGCATTGTACAATCTTGGCATAACAATATTAATTTATACATTGTACTTGATAGTTCTGAACAATAAATGGAGCCACACAAACATTTCTTGAGCCTCACAACAATAAATGCAATGTACTACATAATCTCAATGTAAAAATTGTGTGGGTATTTGTACTTGATAGTTCTGAATTGGAGCCACCCAAACATTTCTTGAGCCTCACAAACAATAAATGCAATGTACTACATAATCTCAATGTAAAGATTGAGTGGGTATTTTTAACCCTTGGTTAACCCAATTGATTCACCTTATAATTAATGCGTTGTACTACAAATCTTAATATTGAGATTGTGTGGTATTTTCAACCTAGGTTATTCTCTCCTTTATCCGAAATAAATACCCAAGAAGGGGATGACCACAACATACCACAAACCAGTATTCAGCAGCTGTATTTTTAAGTTCAAAAGTTCAAAATCAGTGCAATGGCAACCGCTTCATCAGCACAAGGGATGTGGTCCTTGCTCAAGGATATCGATCACACAAAGACGACCTGGGCAATCAAGGTTCGGGTAGTTAGGGCATACGAAGTTCCTCCACACTCTAAGGGAGGGGAGACTCTTGAAATGGTTTTGCATGACGCAGAGGTATGGTTTGTAACATCTAACTTCTATGGCATCTTTTGCTCAACTTTTCTTAATCCAATGTAAATTCTTACTAGGGAGATCGGATTCACGCCATTATCAAGAGGCCGCAGATAGCAATGTATAAGCCTAATATTACAGAGAACAAAATTTATGCCATAAGAAACTTTTTGGTGCTTGACAATTACCAAACAGTGAAGACTACAAGTCATCCCTACATTCAGTTCATCTCAAAAACCCTGTTGAGGGAAGATACGAAGACGGAAATGCCTATGATGGTCTATGATTTTCAGCCTTTTGATATGCTGCATGCCCAAAGAGTTATCAACGACAAAACTCTAATTGGTGAGTTAGAGTCAAATTTTTCCATACTACATTGCTTGCACAAATATCCTAATTACAGTTTCTATCGTTTAATTATGAAGATGTCATTGGGAAGGTTCTGTCCAAGAGCCTTATCCAGACCCACATAATCAACGGGAGGACTGATAGGCTAATGGAGTTGACTTTGACAGACTCGGAGTAAGTTTTACAACTTAAACGATTTTAGCAAAACAAAAGACACATGCTCATTGACTGAAACTTTTCTAAACTACAGGGGTAACAGATTGGGCGCCGTATTGTGGAACAAGTACATAAACCAGTATCTGGATTATGTTAATGCTAATGAAGGAGTGCCTGTCTTCGTGATATTTCAACTATGTAGGCCAAAAAGATACCAAGGTTTGAGAAACTTAGCAGCATTCATTATGTAGTACACAGTAGCCAAAGCTTATGGTAGTGCTGTTTTAAACACAGGGATCTTGACAGTGAATTCGTCTTTTGATGTATCAAAGCTCATAATCAACGGGAACACTACTGAGTTTTTAGAGTTCCAAAGCGAGTATGCGTATTAAATCTCCTAAAACTAAACTCTGACTACCCAATTTCATAAAAAATCTCCTAAAACTCAAGTATCCTAGAACTAAAGCTTGTTTACCATGCAATATACAGGTTTCCAGCAGATGGTGATGACACCACGACTCAAACCTGCAACACGCAATGCTCACATGCGGAAGGGAGGGATGATATACTCGGTGGAAATGCTGTCATTACCACCATGGAGGATTTGATGAAGGCAACTGAGGTGTGTCCTGAAGCTAGAGTCATAGATTTCGCATTTTGAATAAATATATCCACTGCTAATAAGAAAATTATACTTGGATAGGAGAATGTTTATTGGGTACTTGCTGAGATAGTTTCTATAGAAAACTATCGAGAATGGTGCTACCTAAGTTGCCCGACATGCCACAAAAAATTGCAACCGGAAGAGGAACAGTTTAGGTGTACAACTTGCAGCATGTCAATGGCAGAAGGAGTTTATCGGTTCATTACTTAACCTAATGTGCTTTTATGGGTGTAGGATGTTCACGTTTTTATTTTAGTAATAAAAATTGTTACTCTGATGATTCAGCTACAAGGTCAGTGTGTGTATTATGGACAACACAGGGTATGGAAACTTCATGTTATGGGACAGGGAATGCATAGAAATTCTGGGTAAAACTTCAGCAAGTCTTAAAGCCGAGGGGAGAAGGTAACACAATAACCCGTTAGCAGTGTTTACTTTATCAGACCTTCAATCAATTATGGATGGGCTAACCACATAACTTGGAAAACACAGAAAACCGGGGATCCAAGTCGCTTTCCGGAAGACATTGAAAACTTGGTTGATATAAAGGGAATTTTCAAAATACAGCTAAGGAAGAAGAAAGGTGAGGAAAATGCCTATAATGATGGGATTTCTCTAGGGGTAGTCAGCATCATAAGAGATCCTAATGTTATCTCAATGTATGAGAAGAAAGAGCACTTGGAAACTAATGAAATTGATGAGAGTACACCAGAAAAGGTATTTAGAAAAATTATTAATTTGTGTATTTGGGCCTTGAATAAATAAAGATGACAACTAACTTAAAATCATTTTTTTGCAGATTGGTTCAAATGCAAATTTAGGAGAAACCTCCATCAGAGAAAAATCAACTGTCAGTAAGGGCAAGGGGAAACGAATTTCGGCAGAAAAGGAGGTAAGCGATCGACTGTTAAGAGGTATATAATATTTTCGTTCAAAATTCTGTAGAGGGTTCACTAAACAGCTACATTACTGCTAGGTTTCTGCACCAATTGAGCTTCCCGACACACCTACGGAATGTACCCAAAGGGAGGTCAATGTTGAATTAAATGAAGAGGTCAAAAGAAACTTGAATGATGAATTTTCAAGCACTGGGAATGGCAAGAAGCTGAAGATCAAAATCAAACAGGAACCGCTCTAGAGCGGGTTCAGTTCATGAATAACATTGATGATATTTTGTTGGCACCTACTATGGTGTTTATTGTTATTTGAAAACAGTTTCATGCACATGACGTATGCCTTCTCTTTTTGGGATAACTGAAAACTGTGTAACAGACCATTAAACCCTACTTTATGACTATTGTGTGGTGTGCTATTATGTTTTGACTATGTTTAGGATGTTTTGTATCTATATTGGGCAGTTTTGCAGGATTTCAGAGAAGGGATATTCCTAAACCATTTAGGGAAGTTTATGCTCCTAATATCTTTGTATTTTATAAACAGACCTTTGTTTTCACACTAACGCTTTACTAATGGTTTCCAGGATGATGAAAAAGTTTTGGGTTAAGAAAAATGCTACCAATGGTGTGAAGAATGGCTTAACTGCGAGACGAGAGCATGAGATGGTGTGAATAAACGATTGTGTGGTGTGCTATTATGTTTTAACTATGTTTAGGATGTTTTGTATCTATATTGGGCAGTTTTGCAGGATTTCAGAGAAGGGATATTCCTAAACCAGTAGGTGAAGTTTATGCTCCTAATATGTTTGTATTTTATAAACAGACCTTTGTTTTCAAACTAAGGCTTTACTAATGGTTTCCAGGATGATGAAAAAGTTTTGGGTTAAGAAAAATGCTACCAATGGTGTGAAGAATGGCTTAACTGCTAGACGAGAGCATGGGATGGTGTGAATAATGGCTTAACTGCTAGACGAGGCATGGGATGGTGTGAATAATGGCTTAACTGCTAGATTTACTATGAAACATGTAAATGTGTAAACTCTAAGAGGCATTACGTAAACAAGTAAATGTGTACTCTTATGATTTCAAAAGTGTAACATTTGGATTGGAAATTCTAATACAAGTGTATTACATTTAAAAATCTATGCAATATTCTTTGGTTGCAATTTGACAATTGGCAATTTGATTCAACAACTTGCATAATTTTAAATAACCAAGTGAGGTAAAGAAGTTCATACCTTAGTCTTTTGCAGAATGGAGGGTTACCTGCAATCCCTATTTACTAAATAATATTACAAACCTTTTAAATTTTACATAAATGGCAACCTTCTAAGGTCCCAGAACTATTCCTATTACAATTTTCTAGATAGCGTTTTTAAACCTGTTCAACCAGAAAATTACACCTGTCAAAACGTATTAAAAGAGTTATTATTACTATGAACACACTCTTGGATAAAAGTACAAATAAGTTTAAAAAAATGTCTGTTAGAAAGTAAAATTTTGGAATATTTTAGTACATAATGTTGCAATATCAAACATGAAGTAAATTTTAGGTATTAAAGCTTATTCAAAATTGTTATTCAAAAATAAAAACTTGGTTAGCCATTGCTAAGAGTTATTATTATAAATCAATACACTTGGGAGTTGTGGTATCTTTGACAAAATTGGAAAATAGAAATCTGAAATTAAGTCCATTTTTTGGGAATAAAAATGTGGTAATAATATCTGCCCAAAATGTCATTGAAGTGTTTGTATTTTGAAATTCTTCAAAAATAGAACCATGTCTAAGTAAATATATTTAGTATGGAATGATGTCAAGTAACAAGTAAATATTTGTAAAGATGTCAAAAGCTTGAATATAATAGAAATTTAACCAACATGTGAAAGGGATGTTTGTTTCTGAATGGTATGGAAAGATATATTTAGTATGGATAAAAAGATATGAGAAGTACATGATTCCACTTAGCATTTTGGGCATGTCTATTTCGGCCATATATGTATCCCAGGTATTTTGGGTTTCAAATACGTGAGTTTTAAAAAGGCCTTACCCTTGAAATAAATAAATTAAATTAAATTGAATCAATACATATCCAAAGGAATACTGAAAAGTAATAAAAATATATTTATGCACGAAGTGCAAATGGATTTAGCAGAATAATAAAAGATATTTATTGTAAAAGTTTATAAAGAGTATTTAGCAGAATCAAGATCCAAACCTGCCCAAGTTCCCTGTGTACTAATGAAGGTACCAACTTCCAATGTTGGAGATTGTGTGGCTCAAGAGAGCATTAATGAGTAGTATAATAGATTTAAAACTTTGTACTTTAAAAACACATTATTTCTTGGGAGCTAGGTTATATATTTTTACTTAAAAAATAAGGGACAAAATATATAAAAAACATTAAATTGTTTTCAAATAATCGGAAATTATTTTTGGAAAATTATTCAAAAAATTTGAAAATAAATTTTAGAAAAATAAATTATAACGCGAATATCAAAAAATTATTATAAAATATTCATACAACAAGTTGGTTTTAATTTATTTGATGTAAAAGTTTATAGAGTATTTAGCAGAATCAAGATCAAAACCACCCAAGATAGCTGTGTACTTGAAAGCTGCGGGCAATTAATGCAGGCAACAACTTCCAATGTTGGAGATTGTGTGGCTCAAGAGAGCACAAATTTAAAACTGTATTTTAAAAACACATTATTTTTACTAAATAAATAAAGTACAAAATATATTAAAAAAATAAAATAATTTCAAATACGTAACAATTATTTTTGGAAGTGTATCCCTAAAAATTTCAAAATAAATTTTGAAAAAAAAATTAAACGCAAACACTAAAAAACTATTAGAAAATATTCATAGATAACAAAATAATTAAATTTGCACGTTTTTAAAATTTGGGGCTGTGCTTAAAGGTAATCATGACATATGAACAAAACCGTTCATTAAGTACAATGGTTAGTAGGGTTCGAAACAGTGAAGGGCAGTCATTATTGTAAAGCACTTGAGTATCACTACTCAAAAATATTAATACAACACAGTGTATTAATTCTAGGATGGAATGTAGGTCTGCTGGAATTAAATGAAGATGTACAACAAATATTATAAAATATTCCAGAAAGGTAACTTACCAATATTGTAAAGTGAGTGGATATGTAACTTCCAATGCATTTACTCCATGCTCAGAAGCTCATGATAGTTCTGAACTGGAGCCACACAAACATTTCTTGAGCCTCACAAACAATAAATGCAATGTACTACATAATCTCAATGTAAAGATTGAGTGGGTATTTTTACCCCTTGGTTAACCCAATTGATTCACCTTATAATTAATGCATTGTACTACCAAATCTTAATATTGAGATTGTGTGGGATTTTCAAACACTGTGATTTTCTCTCCTTTATCCTATATAAATACCCAAGCAGGGGTAATCATGACATATGAACAAAACCGTTCATCAAGTACAATGGTTAGTAGGGTTCGAAACAGTCAAGGGGCAGTCATTATTGTAAAGCACTTGAGTATCACTACTCAAAAATATTAATACAACACAATGTATTAATTCTAGGATGGAATGTAGGTCTGCTGGAATTAAATGAAGATGTACAACAAATATTATAAAATATTCCAGAAAGGTAACTTACCAATATTGTAAAGTGAGTGGATATATAACTCCCAATGCATTTACTCCATGCCCAGAAGCTCATTTATGAGCTCAACCAAAAATTCTAACAATTGAAACTGTGAGAAAGGCTCAAGAATATCTACGACCAGTGCAATTGAGTGTGAAGAAAAGGTATGTTTCATAACTCATTATTGATAATGCTATATGAAACTATGCAATGAACACTAATACCAAATGCATTTAAACTGATTACAACACTTAAAATCCTTTTATTTGTAAAAAATAATTGTATTTTTTTTCTTTTTAATGAAAGATGAGAAGCTGTTCATGCAACAAATGTTCTCAACCAAAATGTCATACATGTGGACACTATCCTGGACTCTCTTGGTTGCAACCATGCTCTTTGTGTAATGGGAATTTAAGTCACTTTTACTGCATGAGGCCAGTAAACAAAAATAGGGGTACTGGCAAATACTTATGCAAAGATTGTCAAGAATGGTTAGATGCAAGACCAATGATACCTAGAAGATC